AAATTATTTAAATACCAGGGTGGGGCCAATTCTGTATGGAAACACGCCCAGACCCTTTACTAATAAAAAATGGGTGTTATTAAATAATAATAGTCATAGTAATAATTAATATTTAATAATCTAGAATCATTTTTTCATAAATTGTTTACTTACCAATTTTATTAAGACATACTCGCCCACCAATATATTGGTGTGATAAAAAGTAACAAGATAAATATTAGTAAGACTTGTTGATAAATTATTTGAAAAAAATGGACAGGTCTTACAAATTTCCATTACAATGATAAATTTTAAATATATGTTTTTAATTCAGGTCTTAAGCCACAACTAACCAGTTTTGTTTCTATATTTTCTTAAGTATTTTTATTATTTTTACCTTTAATTTTTCTCCTCAGATTGGAACCGTCTACCAGCTAGTGATAACCCTATCAATCCTGATCTCTCAAGCTTTGGGCCTCAGTGGAGCTTTAGGGTCTGAGGATTTGTGGCCCTTGCTGCTAGGTTTCGGACTTTTACCAGCCCTGATACAACTGTTGACGTTGCCTTGGTGTCCTGAAAGTCCTTCCAGGTTGGCGGCGAAGGGACGGAAGGTCGAGGCTGAAAAAGGTAAAAGACTGGATAAAAGACAAGTAGAGTATGGTGTTTTTTAATTATGGTATTTTAAAGTAGAGGGCGAAAGATGTAATCAGGTATCCCTTTAAAACAGGCGACTTCGATATAACAAGATGAAATGCCATTGTCACTCTTGTAACGAAAGTATTTTGAATTTTGCTCGTCAGTAGAGTTCATTCCTTAGTTTGCGCGTCAGTAGAGTCCCTTTTTTATTTTGTTTCAGTTTCGTCGCCAGTATAGTACTTTTTAACACTTTATTAATTTGTTCGTCAATCGAGTTCCTTTTTTTAGTAAAGAAGTCAGTAGAATTCTTTTCACTCGTCTCTTAGTTTACTCGTCAGTCGAGTTCCTTCATTACATTCTCATCTATTCAGGAACTCATTGTGAATAAAGTTCATTTTTTAGTTTGTTCGTCAGTAGAGTTCCTTCTTATTTTGTTTCAATTTCATCATCAGTAGAGTTTTTTTTGCCTCTCCACTAGTTTGCTCATCAGTAGAGTTCCTTTATTAAATTTCTTTTAGTCAGGAAGATAGGAAGATAAGATAGAAGGAGGTATTCTTTTAATTTGCTCATTCTTTTTTTCTATTCTTAGTTAGTCAGGAAGTCAGTGGAGATGATTTATTAGTTTGCTCGTCAGTAGAGTCCATTCTTATCTTGTTTCAATTTCAACGTCAGTAGAGTCCATTCTCATCTTGTTTCAATTTCAACGTCAGTAGAGTTCTTTTTATCCCTCTATTAGTTTGCTCGTAAACCGATTATTTTTAGTCAAAAAGGATCTCCATTAGTTTGCTCGTCAGTAGAGTCCTTTTTTTATATTCTCACTTACTCAGAAAAATCAGCAGAATTTAATTTTTATTTTGCTCGTCAGCAGAGTCCCTTCTTAAATTATTGTAGTTAACTTGTTAAGAGTTTGTTTTCCTCTTTCATTAGTTTGCTCGTCAGTAGAAAGTTTCTTTTTTCTATTCTTATTACTCAAAAAATCAGCTGGAATCTTTTTTTTAGTTTGCTCGTCAGTAGAGTCCCTTCTTATATTATTGCAGTTTGCTTGTCAGTAGAGTTTGTTTTCCTCTTCCACCAGTTTGCTCGTCAGTAGAGTTTCTTTTCTTCTATTTTTTTACTCATTGTCAGAAAATCAACAGGGTTTATTTTTTAGTTTGCTCGCCAGTAGAGTTCTTTTCTCCTATTTTTATACTTAGAAAATCAACAGAGTTCATTTTTTAGTTTGCTCGTCAGCAGGGTTCATTTTTTTAGTTTGCTCGCCAGTAGAGTTCTTTTTTTCTATTTTTTTACTTAGAAAATAAACAAATATGTGGAGCAATTGATCTCCAGTAGAGTTCTTTTATCTTGTTGCATTTTCATCGTTAGTAGAGTCCCTTTTGTGTATTGAAATGCATCCATTAATTAATAAGAATCAATGTTCCGTAAATCTTCTTAAAGATTAAAATAAAATAGTGGATATCTTTGCTTCCTGACAAAATTAAGTAACTAGTGGTGTATGGCATCATGCCTTAAGGCAAATTGCTGGAACTTCCCGTAAAGTAATGAAATATTCGAGAAATTTTAAACGTTTTCAAATAGATTATTACAAATACTGTAACTTTCATTATTTTTGCTATCTTTTTGTTATATTTGAGCAAATCAAATGTAAATCATAAATAAATCAATTTATCTCCAGAACATTAACAATCGTCATTTCATTTCGAATTCTATTTCAACAAAAAAAATAGTTGCCTAATTTACACAAAATTGAAAAAGTGCTCCCGTATAGTCACAGTCTAAACGCATTTGCAAATAATTCTGTGCGACATTTTCACTTATACTGTGCTTAGCTTGGCGGCATTTTCACACTTTTCAATAGTTTTCACAAAATTGGAAAAGTGCTCCATACATAAATGCACTTGGGTAAACATTTGCATCAGAGTGGCGCTTAGACTGTGCTTAGTCTGGGTGATTTTTTGAATTTTTGCCTTGAACCTTTGCCAAAAACTAATAACCACTTTTCCGCGTCATTACGAACTGAATGTATTTTGGATCATTCAAATCGGATGATCCGATCTCTCAAAAATTCGATTTCTATTTTCTACACTCTTTACTCCATATTTCCGTAACGGCTGGACCTGCCTTTGCCAAAAATTAATCAGCACATATCCCTATTAATAGGAATCGATTGTTTTTAAACCATTCAAATCGGTCGATGCGTGCGGCCGAAAACGTGACTGGAAATTTGTATCCATACATACATATATACACACACACACACATACACAAACACACGCACACATCCATTTTTTCTGAGGTATGCCTTAAAATGTTCAGAAACCTTCAAAACATCGAGAAATGTAAAAATTTTCAATTTCGATTTTCGGCCCATTACAATAACTTACCCTACGGGAAGTTAATAATGAAAGTTACACTATTTGTAATAATATATTTGAAAACGTTTAAAATCATTACGGTACGGGAAGTTCCAGCAATTTGCCTTAAGGCACGATGCCATACACCACTAGTTTGATATGTATTATTTGTTATGATGAAATTGGTTTGGTTTCCATAATAAGTCAAATCTGACCTTTATATCAATTACATTTTTCTTCCAGCTCTCTTATGGCTAAGAGGCGACTCGACAACCTCATCGGAACTGACGACTTTGACAACAAACAACCACAAGGATTTGGACAAACCTGCAAACGACGTCGTCAAAACCACCAACGAACCACCAACTTTGAGCGTCTTCCGCCTCCTGAAATCGCGCCTGACTTTGGTCCCTTTGATGGTCACCTGTTGCGTAATGTTGGCTCAACAATTCAGCGGAATCAACGCCGTCATGTTCTACTCTACGAGCGTCTTCAGATCTGCAGGACTCCGGGAAGGAGAACAGGCCAGATATGCCACCTTGGGTAAAGGATAATGATAACATGATAAGTAGAGTTTAGACAAAAACCGACGTTTCAGAAAACCGGTTTTCGAATTTTGATTTTACTAAAAAAATGGTTTTAACCGGTTTTCGAATTTTATATAGAAAATAAATTTTTACTCGAACATTCTGTAAATTATCGACTATTATAAACTAATAACGATTCAAAAAATAATAATTGCTATTTTACCTATTCTCCATGGTAAACCAGGATAATTATAATTTGTGAAATTCTATGTGTGAACAAATTGCTCACAGAGATATATTTTTTAATATACTTTGAAATGTATGAAATGTATTCTGACATATATTTTCATCGATTGTGGTTTTCCATGGAGAATAGGTAAAACAGCAATTATTAATTTTTGGATCGATATTAGTTTTGCAAAAAATATATTTTCTTATCTATGCACTATTTATGACTTGACTGAAATTGCAATAATTTTACATTTTAGTGACAATTTCATCATAAAATCGAAAAATTGCAAGTATTACAATAAATAGTTACATAGAAAGGGAATTAAATTGAGAAAACTGTGGATGGTGCAGAGTTATATATATTTTTTGCAACATACTTTGAATACTTAATATATTTTTAATACTTATATACTTGCGTTGAATAGCTATGAAATGTATTCTGACATATATTTTTACCGATGTTTTATTTAATAATAGCTATATAAAATATAATAACATTGCAAAAAATCAAAAAAGGTAATGAATTAAAATTAAAATAATTTTTATTGCCGACGTAAATATATAAAAAATATTGAAATATTAAGTTTTTCATACATTGAAATATATTAGTCAGAAGCTTATACGGCGAACGAAAATAATCAATAATAATAATTTTTGTTTTATTCGGCACATTGGATTTTTTATTATGACTAATGAATATACTTATATACAAGATATAAATAAATTTTGGATTTTAATAAATATTTCCATACTTATATGGGACATTCTTTTACAAATCGTACGGATTTTCAAAAAAATAAAATGTCACATTTTAGAATTGTCTGAATTTTTTTTACAGATATTATACATAAAATCATTTGACACGTATTTCAGGATTTTCCTGAAAAAAATTTTTTTACGTAAATATTTACGATTGAAATATGGATTTTTTGCTCAATTTCTATGAACATCATCTGCGGTAAATTAATTATCTCCAGTTGTGCTGATCGGATCAGTATTATTATTTTTTTTATTACACTCATATTGAAGTGAACTTTGTAATGATTGAATTTTTTTTTTTTGTTTTTGCAATTTTTTTAACAATAACAAGGTTTTACTCATCCTTACCCCAACTTGAATCGATCCAAAAAAATACATATTTTTTCTTTTTTTCTTTGCAACAAAATTCTTTTTACAATTTGTTGGAGACTTCGTTACATCGAAAGATATTAAATATTTTCAAGCGCGAACCGCGCTTTTCACGTCGGAGACGTCAAAGACTTGTACTCATTTAAAAATATTTAATAATGAAAAATATTATATAATTTCGATTCTGGCGAAAAATGAATATAAAGTCGAAAAAAAAATTACGGAAAAGCGGAACTTAAAAGTTCGTAGGTAAAAAGATCCACTGCCAATATTTAAAAAAAAATTAAAGTTAAAATTTTTTTAACAACAATATTTGAATGTAGACGGATTGTTCAGTTAGATTCTTCTAATTATAAAAAAATATTTTTTAGCCATTTTTCTAAAATTCGTCGTTTTCCGTCTTTACTCCTTAGCCTGGATAAAAAGGGATCGACTAATTTTTAATTTTAATGGAATTTTATGTAATAATAGCTAAATTATATTAGCCAATGTGAAATAAAAATTTCATTGGAATATTTTTATAAAGAAAATACCAGATATACCTTTGATCTGATGCTTCGTCAGAAATATTTATCAGCAGAGTTAATTAACTATTAATTTATATATAATTATATATATATATATATATATATATATATATATTTTGTAGAGTTTCGAACAAGAATCCAAAAATAATACAAAATAAAAAACAAGAAAAGTTTTTAAAAAAACAATTTCTTTATTTAATTATTTGTTTATTGTCGACGTTTCGGAACTAGGTACGTTCCATCTTCAGGACATCTGTCAAGAAACGTGATCTTGATGAGATTTTAGCAAACAATATGTTTAGGAAAAGAAAATAGATTTTTCTTAAATAATGAATTAATTGCAAAAAAAATATAATAATGTACAGAAATATGATAATATGTTCAATTCCGTCCTTAACCTACTTAAAGATGATACAACATATAATATTTTAACAGAAGATCCCACACAACGTTTTTCTAGAATAGCTTTTAAATTAATCAATGATCTGAAAAACAAAAAACTAATTTCTGAGAATTTTGCTTTTAACCTAAAAATACAACACCCTATCTCCCCTAAGATGTACTGTCTTCCAAAAATACACAAACCTGAATGCTCTTTCAGACCGATTGTCTCCTACATTGGCTCTCCTTTTTACAATATTTCGAAACTCATTTCTGATGTCCTAAAAAATGTTACAATCAATTCTCCCTATTATGTCAAGAATTTGTACCAATTTGTGAATTTAATTAATAACGGCAACATCCCTGAAAATCACTTATTTCTAAGCTTAGATGTGGTCAACCTTTTTACATGTGTCCCACATGAATTAATCCTAAACTCAATCGATAAATGTTGGCACACAATTTGCAACTTTACTGACTTTCCGAAAACAGTCTTCACTCATATTATCAACACTATTTTAAATTACTCCTATTTCCATTGCCAAGACAACTTTTATTCTCAAATTAAAGGCGCAGCTATGGGATGTCCCTTATCTCCCGGAATCATCGACTTAGTTTTACAAACACTAGAAATTTCCGTTTTCTCAACTTTAAAATTTCAAATTAACTTTTATATTAGATATGTAGATGACACTTTTTTTATCATTAATAAAAATCATATAAACACAGTACTAGATCTCTTCAATAATTTTAACAATAATATAATTTTCACACATGAACTACAAAATAACAACAGACTTAATTTCTTGGATGTATCCGTTTACAACACTAATAACTTTATTCGAACAAATTGGTATAGAAAAACTACATGGTCGGGTAGATACTTACACTATTCTTCATACTGTCCCAGAAACTATAAGATAAACACTATTATTTCCCTTACAGACCATGCTATTTTGTTGTCTCACCAAACTTTCCATCCACAAAATTTATCCCTAGTAAAAATAACTCTAATTGAAAATGGTTACCCAAAAAATCTCATTCATTCTGTTATTCAAAAAAGACGAACTTTCTTAAAAACACAAATTAATTCTCCCAATACCAGTACTAACATCAAAAACACCAATCTTATTTACTGCAGCATACCATACGTTGAAGATTTATATTATTATTTTGCCAAAATTTTGTTAGAAGAAAACATTTTAGTATCAGGCTCATCCTTACACTCCTTCAACCAATTCTTTACGAACATTAAATCCCCTACCCCATCCAATCTCAATACTAATGTAGTATATTCTGTTTCTTGTAATGACTGTGCTTTTCAATATATTGGACAAACCTCCCAATATGTACACAAGAGAATGAGACAACATGAACTAAGTGTGGTCCACCATAAACAAAAAAATTTCAAAAGTACCCTAGTACAACACTCTATAGAAAACGCCCATTCATTTAATTTCACTCCAAAGATTTTATATCATGAAAGTTGCATCTTTAGAAGGTTATTCGCGGAGAGTTGTCTCATTCTCATAAATGTTTCTAACAGTGTCAACATTAGATCAGATCACAACCTATTACATGATTCATATTTAAATTTTTTACACTTTTTGACAAACAATTAATATCGGCTTCCTTTTAAGATCAACAATTTAAGTATTCACACCCTAACATATAAAAACACACACATACAATCTCACATCTCTCGTTCAAGTGTTTACACGTGTTACAAAGGACACACCAGTTTCAATTAGTTAATTTTCAAAAGCCAATCGAACAACACCCAGAGAACAATATTATTTGTGTTTTCAAATAATAATTTTAAAAAAGACAAATCTTTTAGTAATTTTGATTTACAAAATCTAATTATTCGGCGGAAAATTAACTCACAAATTCATTTTTGTTAAAAAAGCTTGTTTAGTGAAAAAGTGCTAACAAATATTCAAACATACAGGTAATTAATTCAACTTTGTCATTAACCTTTTCTTAAAAAATTTCCATAACTTTCAAAAAAAAAAAAAAAATTTTCTATTATGTTTAATATCCTGTTCTGATAATCCACTCATTTATTTTTATCATTTTTATCATTTTCATTTTGAACATATTATCATATTGCTGTACATTATTATATTTTTTTTGCAATTAATTCATTATTTAAGAAAAATCTATTTTCTTTTCCTAAACATATTGTTTGCAAAAATCTCATCAAGATCATGTTTCTTGACAGATGTCCTGAAGATGGAACGTACCTAGTTCCGAAACGTCGACAATAAACAAATAATTAAATAAAGAAATTGTTTTTTTTAAAACTTTTCTTGTTTTTTATTTTGTATTATTTTTGGATTCTTGTTCGAAACTCTACAAAATATACACAAATCCAAGATTCTACCATTCAATATATATATATATATATATATATATATATATATATATATATAAATATCTATTGTTAAATAGCTTTTTTCTAACTTAATTTATTTTATTTACTATTTCCTTATTATTTACACCTTGGCCAGTATGAAGGTGTGGTTTACTCTTTTTACCCCACCCATATGTAAGCTTTAATAGATATTATATCAGAAAGAGTTGAACCCAACTTAAATATCCCTCTACTTTTAAATATTGTTGTTAAAGAAATGCAAACTACTTGTTTTTGAGGTTTTGGCAGTGGATCTTTTTACGCACAAACTTTTAAGCTCCGCTCTCCTCTAATTTTTTTTTCGATCTTATATTCATTTTTCGCCAGAAGCAAAATTATAAAATATTATTCAACCGAAAAACAATAAGATTGTCATTCGAAAGTGACAAATGAGTAAAAGTCTTTGACGTCTCCGACGTGAAAAGCGCGCCTCGCGCTTGAAAATATTTAATATCTTTCGATGTAACGAAGTCTCCAACAAATTGTAAAAAGAATTTTGTTGCAAAGAAAAAAATAAAAAATATGTATTTTTTTGGATCGATTCAAGTTGGGGTAAGGATGAGTAAAACCTTGTTATTGTTAAAAAAATTGCAAAAATATAAAAAAAAATTTTAATCATTCCAAAGTTTACTTCAATATGAGTGTAATACAAAAAAAAATAATACTGATCCTATCAGCACATCCGGAGATCATTAATTTACCGCAAATGATGTTCATAGAAATTGAGCAAAAAATCTATATTTCAATCGTAAATATTTTCGTAAAAAAATTTTTTTTCAGCAAAATCCTGAAATACGTGTCAAATGATATTATGTATAATATCCGTAAAAAAAAATTCAGAGAATTCTAAAACCTCAAGATCTGGATGGTGTATGGTTTGTAAAAGAATGACCCATATACATTATTATGCCACAAGTATTACTCACCATCGGTCTATTTTCAGGTATGGGTACGATAAACGTCCTGGCCACCATAGTGTCCCTGTTCCTGGTTGAGAAGTTAGGCAGACGTATCCTCCTGCTGGCAGGTTTAGGAGGGATGTGTATAAATTCTGTGGGTTTGACTGCAGCCTTGTACTTTGCCTCCGAAGAAAATACAGTGGCGTCCAATTGGGCGCCCGCGCTGTCGGTGCTTCTGGTGTTCTCCTATGTGACACTTTTTGCAGCTGGCCCTGGATCCATACCATGGTAAGGATAAATGAAATAGGAAGACGGTTTATTAAAATTTTAACAACGAAGATCAGTTTTTTAATAATATAAATACAATTGAATGCAAAAGAACATTAAATTACTGGCAGGGTTGTTTTTGTGTTACATTTCAAAGTTTACGGATTTTTTTAAATATAATTTTGTTTGAAAGGTTATTAATTAAATTACACTAAGTCTAACAACTTTTTGTTATATAACGCGAAATTTAAATAAATGCACGACCATCGAGCATCAAATATTCTGAGCTTTCGTTTGGCATTTCAAAGTTTACCGATTTTTTTGAACATAATTTTGTTCTAAAAGTTGTAAATTAGTTTACATTACATTGTAGTAAATTTCATTAACTTTTCAATGGTATATCATGGTATTTCATGTTCTACCAACTTTTTGTTAAATAACGCAAAATGTAAATAAATGTAAGAACATCGCGTATCAAACATTATGAACGTTCGTTTGAAAATTTTTTGATGTTAAAAAAAGTTAATAATTAATTTGCACATCTTTATAGTAAATTTTATAAACTTTCTAATATTATATAAAATTAAATACATGTTCTAATAATTTTTTGTTACTACCATGGTAAGGATAAATGAAATAGGGGAACGGATTATTAATATTTTAATAATTAAATTCAGTTATTTAATAATATAAATACAAATGAATGCAAGAACATTAAATTAATGGCAGGGTTGTTTTTGTTTTATATTTCAAAGTTTACTGATTTTTTTCAATATAATTTTGTTCTAAAAGTTATTAACTAAATTACACTTCTTTATAGTAAATTTCATTTAACTTTGTAATTGTATATGTATTTAAAACATTTTCTACTAATTTTTTGTCATATAACGCAAAATTTAAATTAATGCAGAAACATTTATAAAATGATTAATTTTCTGTAAATTTCCAGAATATTTCATGCATTTTGGACAAACCGTTCAAAAGTTACAAGAGATTTAGTAAATAAATGCACAAACGATTTGCTTATTCCGAGACTACTCGTGCTATATATAGTACAGCGTGTAATTTGGGTCAAGATTTTTTATATATGGCAAAAATTGATGTGGGGTATCAAATGAAAGGTCTCGACGAGCACTTTTAGAATATCATACTTAAACCCTTTAAAATCAATCAATAGGGTTCTATACACTTACATATCTGAATTTTAACACGATTTCAAAATACACCAAGTTGTTGTACAACATCATTCTCATTCATACATTCTGAGCTTATATTTCAAAGTTTGCAAATGCAAGAACCAAACATTTTACAGTTCAACGTTTTCCGAGTTTTTTCAAAATAATTTTGTTCTAAAAGTTATAAATTAAATTACGACACTTTATAGTAAATTTTATTAAGTTTTCAATGATATATAAATATAAGTATATGTTCTAACAACTTTTTATTTAAACGCCAAACATAAATAAATGCACTAACATCGAATATCAAACATTCTGAGCTTTCGTTTTACATTTCAAAGTTTACCGATTTTTTTCAATATAACTTTGTTCTAAAAGTTATTAATTAATTTACACTATAATATAGTAAATTTTATCAACTTTTCAATGATATATAAATATAAGTACATATTCTAACAAACTTTTTGGTAAATAACGCAAAATGTAAATAAATGCAATAACATCGAGTATCAAACATTTTGAACGTTCGTTTGAAATTTCAAAGTTTTTATAGTTCAAAGTTTACCGAGTTTTTTCAAAATAAATTTTGTTCTAAAAGTTATTAACTAAATTACACTACTTCATAGTAAATTTTATCAACTTTTAAATGATGTATACAATTAAATACATGTTCTAACAACTTTTTGTTAAAAAGCGCAAAACGTAAATAAATACACGAACATCAAGTATCAAACATTCTGAGCTTTCGTTTTATATTTCGAAGTTTACCCGTTTTTTTCAAAATAATTTTGTTCTAAAAATTAACACTATTTGATAGTAAATTTAATAAACTTTCTAATAAAATTAAATACAAGTTCTAACAACTTTTGTTAAATAACGCAAAATATAAATAAATGCACGAACATCAAGTACCAACCAATCTGAACTTCTGTTTTACATTTCAAAGTTCACCGATTTTTTTGAATATAATTTTGTTTTAAAAGTTATTAATTAATTTACACTATTATATAGTAAATTTAATTAACTTTTCAATGATATATGAAAATAAATACAAGTTCTAACAACTTTTTGTTAAAAAGCGCAAAATGTAAATAAAAGCAAGAACATCAAGTACCAAACAAGTTAGTTTTTCGTTTGAAGGATACAAGTTTTGGTCACACTTTTTGATTGCGAGTTTTAAGAAACATGAAATAAGTTTAAACTATAAATAGTACATATAAATTCATTTACCTCTTAGGTTTTTGGCTGGTGAATTATTCGACGACAAAAGCAGACCATCAGCAACCACAGTAGCAGTTGTGGTCAACTGGGGGGCCAATTTTATAGTCGGACTTGGATTTCTACCCCTACAAGTTAGTACAGGAAAACTATTCTCATACACCATTCATGTACTAAATTTTGTATTTTTAATTTTCAGGAAGCTTTGGGCGCTTATGTGTTTCTAGTCTTCGCAGGACTTTTGGCTTTGTTTGCTATATTTGTTTATTTCAAAGTTCCTGAAACGAAAAACAAAACGCACGCAGAGATACAAAGATATTTCACAAAACAAAAATAATAATGGATAAATCATTCCTGCAGATTAGAAGAAACATATTTAAAGTTAAGAAATTGGACTAATTTTTATATTTATACAAAAATATCAAAATTGACAATTATACAAAAATATTAATATAATTTAATATTTCTGCATTGCATAATATTACTGAGGAAATTATCCATACCAAACCAGGAAAAACAACAGAAAAAATTAATTATGATGTAAAATTGATTGAACACTAAATTTGTGTAAAATAATAAAATACTATTACATTAACAAACGAGAAATAGAAGGAGCACATATTGCCCTCCTATAATTAATGTTATTGGTAGCATTGCATTGTGGACACTGATCAAGGTTACAACGCTACAACGCTGTATATATATATATATATATATATATATATATATAAATATTTCTTTTATTGCATCGACCAATTATGAGCACAATTCAAACTTCTAAAAGCTTATTTAGCTTTTTACTATTTTATTATAATTAATATTTATTTATTATTATTATTATTATTATTATGATTATTAATTGTTAATACATATTATACGCAGTATAATAATACTCATTCCTGTTGTATAAAAGAAATATACAATTTCTACTTTCGTACGATGGATGTTTTTTACTATTTTATAATTTTTCAGTCTGCGAAATAAAAAAGTTCTATGAGTTAGAAGATGTAATAAAATTATAGTTGAAAATGTTAAGAAAATAGAAATCTTGAAAAAATCGTTAATTGAAGAATAGAAATATTCAACAGTTCCAAAATGAATAAGAATAAAAACTAAATTAAAATGATTATTTTATTATTACATCAAAGAATTTACAAATTTGTATAAATACTTTTATATAATATTGGTCCCGCGTTTTCTTTTAGAACTCTGAAAAAACCCGATTTTGGAGGTTTTTAACATTTATGAAAAAAATTGAGTTTTTTGAAAAAAAATATTTTTTTTAACTTGGGAATATTTTGGAAATTTTGACTTTTTTTCCAAAACAATCGCGATACAAACTATCGAGGAAACAAAATTAACCACCATGTCTCCTTATCAATACGAATCGAATGTTTTTTAAATTATTCAAATCGGTTGACCCGTGTTCCCGAAATCGTCGACAAAAATTTGTTTCCGCACACTCACACATATATACATACATACACACACATACATCCATTTTTTCTGTGGTATGCCAAAATGTTCAGAAGACCTTAAAACGTAAAGATATGCAAAAAAATTTTATTCTCGATTTTTTAGGATTACTATAACTTACCCTAAGGGAAGGTAAAAAATAAAAAAAGATCAGCACCTGTTTACCTGGTTAGGCTAAAATCACTTCACAAGAATAATAAACACAAATTTTTTAGTCCTGGTTGCAAAAAATTATTATAATGCAAAAATCTTTAGCTAATATATGAACCTGAGAAAGAAATTAATAATATTATTTATATTGCATATATAATATCATTTCATCATTGAAATTGAAATCGAATTTTATTTATATTAATAGTTTATATTTATATGTCTAAAATGAATGTTGTGATTCTCGAATGATTGATGAATTGTACACGATGAGAATAAAGTTTAAACTTTCAAATTTTATATATTTCAAATTGTACAATCATGCATTTAATACATATAAATATCAATACTAAACTCTAAGTTCGATTTTTAATCTACATAATACTTTTTTTAATTTTAATTTTAATTTATATACCTACAACTACTAAGCGTTTATTAAAATCTAATCTAGCGACTATGAGCTAAGCTTTCAAACGCACAAACTTAAAAAACCTAATTTTAAATTAAATATAAATGAGATTATCAAAAAGAACAATATTTGGCTTGAGAGTCTTTGTTTAACTGGTTCATATTTTATTTTTGTCCATTATAAAAACTATACCACTCACTTTATTACTTCTATATATGCCTCGCGACTTCTGGATTCTCGTCCAAACTGAGTGCCAAATTGGTCTCACCGCCATAATTCGATCTTTTACCGGTGGCACTGTCGATTTTGACACCACTTGCTGAATTGAGTTCCGTACCATTAACTTTGGCATCTGGAGATGATGTGAACCATCTTGCTGGTGGACTCAGCAGGTCGGTGTGGGTTGGTTCTACGTCTGTTTCCAGGCCGATCAACCTGGTAATAATAGACAATTGGGGTAAAAAATATTCTGGTAACAAAAAGGTTAATGGTGGAATACATGGGAACTCATACGAGTGCATCCGTTTGAAAAGTAGCTCAATAAGTAGTAGAATAAAATGAATGAATCAAAATCTAGCCATATAACCTTCACAACAAGAACCCTGGACTGCCCAAGCGTAAAAATAAACAACATAGAAATACCAAAATATGAGAGCGTAAAAAACCTTTTGATTCATCTGGATAGAAAATTAAGCTAGTCAATGCACATCAAAATGAAAAGAGAACAGATGGAGAAGAAGTTCAAAGAGTTGTATTGGCTAATTGGCAGGAGTTCAAATATATGCTATGAAAACAAACTCATTTTATATAAAACAACTAGCAAACCCGACGAACTCCGTTTCGCCACCAGATGGTTTCGTGAGAAAGATGAAGAAATTTTTTGTTTGTTTTATATTTTAAAAGAAAAATTTGATTTTATTATACAACAGTAACGAATTTATTTTGATTACAAAAATGAAGTGTTTTTTAGTTGAACTTCTCTAAGTAAATGAAAGTGAATCCGCGAATTATCCGTTTCATTGAAGTGCTCTTTGGTAAACCACATTTTTTGTTTTTTGTTCTGACGTTAACACAAACAAAGCGGATGGTTTTCCAACTCGTGAACAGGCAACGTATAACTGTCCATGTGAAAAACAATGATTTTCTAAATAATCTATTTGAAATTTTTCCCGCAAACACTAAGCGATTGGCTTTGAGACTTGTTATTGCGAACGTGAGGCGAACTGGAAATTGCAATCGTTTGAAGTCAAACGGAAGACCAGTCGGAATCATTGGTATGTCACCAAATCGCCAGCAATTTTTGATTGAATGGTGAAATTCAGTGCGTGTTTTTCATTATTTTTTGCGGCAAAAATTGCTCGTTGACTTAACCAAGCATAATTCTGATAATTCTCACTAATGTCATTAATCGAATTTTTAATTACGGTGCGTGAAGTTCCAGCAATTTCCATTAGGGCACGATGCCATGCACCACTAATTTTCTTAGCTACCTTTCCAACGAATGCAAAATTGTCGAAATCGGTTCGTGCGTTCTGGAGTTATTTCGTCAAGAAGGAAAACCCGACTTATTTTTATATATATAGAAGATAATTATCCCAATCTGGACATACGGCAGTGAGCTATGGGCGTGCGCAAGCAATTCAAATATAAAAATAATACAAGTAGCGCAATCGAAAATTTTAAGATGCATTGTGAACGCACCCTGGTATGTTACAATTGACACTCTACATAAAGACCTAAAAATAAAAACTATTAATGAAATGATAAAAAAAAGACCAAAAAATACCACGAAAAACTACCAGGTCACCCAAACATATATTTAAAAAAGCTAAGCGAGGAATATCCCACATGAAGAATGAAAAAAAATGGCCATACGATCTTAAATAAAATGTCAAAAATAAAAAAGAGATATCTCATAGGAGATAATCTTTTAAATGCATTAACATCAACATCATGTTGTCTTAAAAAATGTATATTATTTTGATTGACAATAAAACTATGCAAATAAAAAAAATACCTTGAGATTTCTGATACGATAACTCCAACAATGACAGTCGTCATGCATCCTAAGGCGCTGTACCACAAGTACGACACGTTGTAGATTGATGAAGAACTTTTGGCATCACTGAAAAAAAAAAATAAACTAGCTGTAAGTGGAATTCTGTCTTAAGGCAATTAGGGCATCGTGACTTTAGGCAAATTGCTGGAACGTCCCGTACCAAATATTATTATTTTTTTTACAAACTGATACAATTTTACTTCGTAAAAATTAGATTTTTGAGAAACTAGGAATTGGACAAAAAATTACTTTTTTTGAATTTTTTTTTTTTTTTTTTTAAAAAAATGTTTTCTTTATTTTGACATATTTTGGAAACTCTGAATTCTTTTTTAAAGCAATCGTTCTGCTTTAACTGCATAGAGACAAAATGTCAAAGCGCGTAAGCGCCGCGTCGCCGTCTAACGGATAAACATTGGTACGGAACCCATAGGAATGGAAACAAAATTTATACTTATTGTTAAAATCTCTATAAAATATCTGATAATTTGATGTGCATATGTCTAATGATCATTTTTGACCGCCAAGTGGCATTTTTTTTTACTTTTTTCATTAGATCTCCGAAACCGCTCGACCTGCCTTTATGAAAATTTGATCGGTTTTTCACCTTGTCAATACAAGTAAAATGTTTTTTGAATTATTAAAATCGGACGCTCCGTTCTCTTAAAAACTGAGTTTCCGTTTTTGGCACTTTTGCCCCGTATCTTCGGAACGGCTAGACCTGCCTTTGTCAAAAACTAATCAGCACGTCTCCTTATCAATATGAATCGAATGTTTTTTGAATTATTTAAATCGGTTGATCGGTGTTCCCGAAATCGTCGACGAAATTTTGTATCCGAACATACATACACACACGCACATACACACACACACATACATCCATTTTTTCTAAGGTATGCCAAAATATTTAGAAACCTCTGAAACGTAAAGATATATAAAAAATTTAATTTTCGATTTTTTTGCGATTACTAGAACTTGCCTTACAAAAAGTTAACTAGTGATATGTTCAAATAATCAATAAAAAATAAATTAAAAATTATTAAAAGTGAGTGATTGAAAGTATTCCGAGTGGATTTATTACACATAATTGGAATCGAACGAACACGTTAATCGGAGTATTTTCTAAAAGCAAATGTTCAAAAATCAATAATTTTTTAATTGTACCAGTTTCCGTAGGACTTTAATGATTTATTACGTTTATTTAGACTAAGTACTCTATCGTTATACCAAGTAAATCGTCTAATTTTAATTTTAACAAACGTCAAAAAAACGACTCACTTTCTCAAACTTCGATGAATTTTTAAATTTAAACTACTTGTCGTAAGGCCGTAATAATTCAGTAAGTTCTATAAGACCATGATATACATCGCCAAAGAAAGTTTCATAAAAATCGGCTTAATTTTTTTTTTCAACAGTTAATTACAAGAAAACGGCTCGATAGATTTTCAACTAAAACTAATCAGTATCATTCCCAACTAATATCTTTCAAACAGTTTTTGATTTTTTAAAATCGATTCAGTAGTATGAGCTTAAATGTAGACGAAAGGTTTAACACTTTTTTCCAAATTACAAAGAAATGGCTCGACCAATCGTCGCACAAAACTGAGAAACGATAATCCTCATCGAGATACATCAAATGCTTTTTAAATATCTGAAATCGGTCCAGCCGTTTTTGAGAAAACGTCGACGAGAGGTCAAAAATCTACTCACACATACTTTTTCCAAATTCGGTCTCATTCGAATCAGAATGGCTTGAAACGTCGAAAAAACATAAAATTAGCGAATTGGATTTTTTGATGAAAACATAAACTTCTCCTTCAGGAAATTAATAACTAATCAATACAACAATCTAATTACCTCTTTGTGATGTGCTCGATTACGACAACAGTAGCATTCAAGCATTCGCACCCATGTATGTCTCCTGGTAAAAACGGCGTAGGCTCACCAGCAATTTGTGCACCTAAACCTAACCACAGGACAAGCCCTAGGGCACAAGCGGCTCCCCAAAGGGCTCCTCGAGAGACTGCCCTAGGTACACACATTCCTAAGGTGAATAGACCAAGTGTTACACCACCTGCCATGCCGTTGAAACTCAAAGCAACCTAAAAGGTAATAGACACATGGTAGTAAAAAATAACTAGTTGAAAGTGGCATTTAGCCTTAAGGCAAGTTGCAAAAAATGGTAGTTTTTGAGAGAACTAAGCGTCCGATGTAAATGATTCAAAGAACTTTCTGCTTGTTTCAACAAAACAATTGCTTTTGAGGATAAAAAATTATTACATGTTTTTTTTATTTTCCATAAAATATGTTTGTAATTTTGGATCAAACATTAAAAAAAATACCCAAGTTAAGCACAGTCTAAGCGCCACTCTGGTACAAATGTTTACCCAAGCGCGTTTAGACTGTTTATGTACTGGGTCACTTTTACAACTTTGTTAAAACTATTGAAAAATGTAAAAATGCCGCTAAGCTAAGCACAGTATAAGTAAAAATGTCGCACAGAATTATTTGTAAATGCGTTTAGACTTTGTCTATACGGGTGCACTTTTTCAAATTTGTGTAAATTAGGCAACTAAACTATTTTTTGAAATTGAATTCAAAATGAAATGACAATTGTTAATGTTCTGGAGATAAAATGATTTATGATTTATGATTTACATTTGATTTGCTCAGATATAACCAGATAGAAAAATTAATGAAAGTTACAGTATTTGTAATAATATATTTGAAAACGTTTAAAATTTCTCGAATATTTCATTACGGTACGGGAAGTACCAGCAATTTGCCTTAAGGCACGATGCCATATACCCCACTTTTTTTTATATGTATTTATCTACTTATTTAGTTATATATTTATCTATGTATTCAACTAGTTATTTTTCTAGTTAGTTATTTTATTATCTATTTATCTATTTATCTATCTATATTTCTATCTATGTAATTTTCTATTTATTTATTTAATTTTTTATTACAATTTATTTGTGTATACTTTCTATTGGTTTATATTTTTTGTATTTAATTCTGTTTTTCTGCTGCTGAAAATTTTATTTAAATGGTCTTAAAATTTTAAATTATAATACACCGATGATGAGACAAACCAAGTCTCAAAACGTTTGTAAAATTAATATTATTTAATAACATAGTTTAGACACAGAGAAACATAATGAATTTGAAAATGCGCGCCATTGTTAAATGCGAAAGCGATATGAGAAGTGTCTCATCTTTCTCTAAGTATACTCTATGCTCCACATGTCAAATAATAAATATATTTTAAGCAGAAATCAGTTGTGGTCTTATTATTATATTGTCTAGGGTTGTGGTATTGAAATTGAAAAGGATTGTTGCTTAAACTAGAACTAGGTTATTATTTAGCCCACGCCTATTTTGGAATTATTTCAATTATTTCTTAAGTGAGTATAAGCAGTAAAAATATTTAAAAATGTCAGAAGAAACATTTATGTCAATGAATAATCCGGCAATCAAAATTGAACCGCCAGAATATTCAGAAGAAGACATTAAACACGAAATTCAGGATGATATTGATGTTTCTGATGATACTGTTAAGTATGAAGATGTCAAACAGGAGTTAGCCGACACTAAACATGAAATTCAGAATGATATTGATGTTTCTGATGATATTGTTAAATCTGACTCGTGTTCTGAGGATTATGATACCTGTTTAGAAAGATTCATGAACTCTGAAGTGACTATCGAAGAAGGAGTGAAACAGGAGTTAGTCGAGCCAGCAGCTTATGAATGTGACATTTGTGATCAATCATTTGCAGAATCTGATCTATTAAAAGAGCATATGGTCGATCACAAGTCTGGTAATAGCAAAGAACGCCCTTTAAAATGCGAAATCTGTCATAAGACTATAAAACGAAAAGGTTATATTAAAACTCACATGCTTTTGCATAGTGGCGAACGCCCCCATGAATGCCTTATATGCAACAAGACATTCGCACAATCAAGTAATCTGAATAAACACATGCAAATTCACAAAGGAATACGCCCACATCAATGCAATGTTTGTAATAAGACATTCACGGAGTCGAGAAGTCTCAAACGTCATATGCTTATTCACAAAGGAATACGCCCTCATCGATGCAATGTTTGTAATAAGACATTCACGGAGTCAGGAGGTCTCAAACGTCACATGCAAATTCACAAAGGAATACGCCCTCATCGATGCAATGTTTGTAATAAGACATTCACGGAGTCAGGAGGTCTCAAACGTCACATGCAAATTCACAAAGAAATACGCCCTCATGGATGCAATGTTTGTAATAAGACATTCACACGATTCGATAATCTGAAAACACACATGCTGATTCACGAAGGAATACGCCCTCATCGATGCAATGTTTGTAATGAGACATTCACGGAGTCAGGAAGTCTCAAACGTCACATGCAAATTCACAAAGAAATACGCCCTCATGGATGCAATGTTTGTAATAAGACATTCACACGATTGGATAATCTGAAAACACACATGCTGATTCACAAAGGAAAACATTGCAATTTATAGTCGAAAATGTAATAATAATCAATGAAATATAAACATTTCTTAAATTGAATTTAAATATTAGGAAAAAGGTTATAAAATATTCTTCTCAAATATGTAAAAGAATGTATAAATAATATAAAATAAACAGTAAACATCACATTATATTCATTTATTGTTAAACCAGGCAATTGTTACTTATTATATCACTTTATTGGTTCTTTTTTAGCTTCCCGTAGGGTAGTTATAGTAATGGGTCGAAAATCGAAAATGAAAATTATTGCATTTCTCCATGTTTTGAAGGTTTCTGAACATTTTGTCATACCTCAGAAAAAATGGATGTGTGTGTGTGTGTGTTTTGTATGTGCGCATTTTTTCGTCCACGTTTTCGGGCGCACGGATCAACCGATTTGAATGGTTTAAAAAACATTCGATTCCTATTGATACAGAGATGTGCTGATTAGTTTTTGGCAAAGGCAGTTCCAGCCGTTTCGGAGATACGGAACAAAGAGTGCAGAAAATAGAAATAGAGCTGACAAAACAATTGCTTTTGAGGATAAAAAATTCTAACATCTTTTTTTATTTTACATAAAATATTTTTGTAATTTTGGATTGGAAATTCAACAAATTACCCAGGCTAAGCACAGTCTAAGCGCCACTCTGGTACAAATGTTTACTCATGTGCGTTTAGACTGTTTATGCACTGGAGCACTTTTCGAATTTTGTGAAAAATGTGAAATTGCTGCCAAGCTAAGCACAGTATAAGTAAAAATGTCGCACAGAAGTATTTGCAAATGTGTTCTGACTGTGACTACGGGCACGATATATTCTTGAAATTGAATTCGAAATGAAATGACGATTGTTAATGTAGTGGAGATAAATTGATTTATGATTTATGATTTATGTTTGATTTGCTATGCTCAGATATAATAAGATAGCAGAAATAATGAAAGTTACAGTATTTGTAATAATATATTTGAAAACGTTTAAAATTTCTCGAATGGGAAGTTCCAGCAACTTGCCTTAAGACACGATGCCATACACCACTAGTTTTTTATCATTATTACCTGTAGTACTCCTCCCATTCGTTCAACCACAAACACCAGAGCAAAAGATATGATCCCGTACGCCAAAGACAACCACTTGGCCCAAAAAGCGCCTTTACTGGGAGCCATTCTGATGCCTAACCCAGCACTCAACAAATCTTCACAGGTGACTGCTGATAGGGAATTCAAAGCAGCAGCTACTGTGCCCAAAGAAGCAGCAAATATACCTGCTACGAATAAACCGGCAACACCACGCATACTGCCCAACACCTGAAAGAAGAAAACAATTAATAATCTCCAACAATTTTAATACTAAAAATTGTTTTCAGTTTTTGAAGAACAACTTCTTAAGGGGGTTGTCCGGTTTTTATTTATTTTTTTTTCGATTTTGAGATTTTTTGATATTATGAAAGCTATAATCCTTAGAATTATTTTTAAAAAAATCATCTCAATATCTATTTTTTTGACGAAGTTATATATATACATATATATATATATATATATATATATCTTTATATGTATGATTTTCATCGCTCCGCGAGCTATTGTATGCCAGCTGCTCTCTTTTTCATTATAATACCTCATGCACATGACCTTTTTAATGTGTCAGCATCTTTGAACACCATGGTGTATTTAGTACATTAAATTAAATGGTGTATTTAGTACATTATATTAAAAACTTTAAATACGTTTTTCTCAAATTGACTTTTTTCAATGCGGTGCCATAAATTAAAAAAAAACCACAAGTCGGATCGACTTGCATTTTTTTTTAATTTGTTCACCACTGCAATATCTAGTCCCCCTACCTCAAACAACTTGATAACATTACGCAAAAATTTTTTGCGAAGCTTCTCGCCCCGAAAAAAGGCTTTTTTCAACACTTTTTTTTTAAATAGCTGTCATTTTTTTCCTTCTTGCTTTATTAACTTCCCGTAGGGTAAGTTATTGTAATGGGCCGAAAATCGGAATTGAAAATTTTAACATTTCTCGACGTTTTGAAGGTTTCTGAACGTTTTGGCATACCTCAGAAAAAATGGATGTGTGAGTGTGTGTGTGTGTATGTATGTATGGATACAAATTTCCAGTCACGTTTTAGGGCGCACGGATCAACCGATTTGAATGGTTCAAAAAACATTCGATTCCTATTAATAGGGAAAAGAGCTGATTAGTTTTTGGCAAAGGCAGGTCCAGCCGTTTCGGAGATACGGAGCAAAGAGTGCAAAAAATAGAAATCGAATTTTTGAGAGAACGGAGTATCTGATTTGAATGATCTAAAAAACATTCAATTAGTAATGATTGGGAGAAGTGCTTATTAGTTTTTGGCAAAGGCAGGCCCAGCCATTTCGAAGATACGGAGCTAAATATGTAAAAAATGGCAGTTTTTGAGAGAACTAAGGGTCCGATTGAAATGATTCAAAAAACTTTCTGCTTGTCTTAACAAAATAATTTATTTTGGATTTTTTTTTTTTTTTTTTTTTTAGTTTTTTAGTTTTTTGTATATCGAAAATATTTCAGATTTTATTTTTAATTCTGACTATAGTTCTAATATACTTTACAAATAATTTCAACTCTGCAATTCAGTTTATATAATTCTCATAAATATTAGACAATGTTACAATATTTATAATAATCTATTTGAAAACATTCAGTATTCCTCAAACATTTCGTTACGGTACGGGAAGTTCCAGCAATTTGTCTTAAGGCACGATGCCATAATTGCCTTAAAACAGAATTCCACTTACAGCTAGTTTCTTTCATTTTGGTAGGGGGACTGGATTCAAACTTCTTCTTCAACGTAGTTTCTTTTTTTTTTGTTTCAGACGATGCGCAACGGATTTATCTGTGGCACCGCAAAAAAGATAATTTTGCAATGCCCACTTTGGCGCCCCCTGGTTAAAAAATGACAGCGAAAAAAAAGAAAAAGAAAATTTCGTAATATTTTATGATTTTGTAATTTTTGTTTAAAAAAAAACCGCATGTCTCTATGATCAATACATTTCGAGAAAAACAAAAACAAATACCTTGCATTTTTTAACCTTAAGACGCGACTAGAGTGTAATTCCGTACAAATGCAACGGAAGTGCGTTACGGCCGAGTCGAGTGCCAATGATTCGTCATTCGCTCTCGATGAAATCATTTCTATACGGGTCGATTGTGATTAGACGTCGTGTATGTGAATAGAGATCTATCTTTGTATGCGTACCGATACCAACAAGGAAATCGGCATAGATAAATAATCATTTTAAAGTTATATCGTAGTACAAATCTTGATTTAATATAAAATGCCTGAATCACAAGAATATTTTACCCTGTTCCTTAAAAATAATAAAACAAATTAAACATTTATGCCGTGTACTAAACGTAAGTTTATTGATTAGAAATATTTCTATATTATTCGTAGTTTCTATAAATCTTTGAAGTTATTAAAATCGAAAATATTTTTTGGGCAAGACAGATATTATGCACAAATAATGAGATTATATCGCCAGCGAAAAAGTAAAAAAAATACAAGCAGTCAATGAATGCATGTTAATTTTAATTATATGATGTGTGTAAAGCTGAAAGTGTTCACTGTGTGAACAAATATTATAGCATTTATTAATCAACAATTACTTCATTTCTCTAATTTAATTTCTAAATGCTAATTACAATGACAAACCGATTATGTTATATTTGAAGTATAAAGCCATACTAATACACATTTATTTTAAATTGTTTGTGTATTTATGAATTAAATCAAATGTAGACTCATTGTTAGAGCATATACAAAATTAAATAATTTTTTTTAACATTTAACTCTGTCTTTTATTTAATATGAACTTATAAAATTTTATTCGAAAAAGGCTATGATAATTTATATACTATATACTATATAACTTCTTACTAAGATCTGTCGTGAATTCTGAAGAGATCGTTAAAAATAGATTTTTGAAAATATTATATTGATATAAAACATATGTACGTTTGTAGGCATACCGATAGTTAATTGTTTGGATTTTTTATAAAACGATATATTTTTATATTCATATTTAGTACTTAAATTAGTTAGTTAATAAAATTAATAAAATAGAGTAAATAATATGTTATACTTGATGAATTTAGCTAAAATAGAGATGCTTAGATACTACAGCTGTTCAAAGAATGCGATTATATCGCAAGCGAAAAATTGAAAAAAAAAATACAAGCAGTCAATGAATGTATGTTAATTTTAATTACATGAAGTTCTTCAAACACAAATATTATATGATGATGAGTGAAATTGTGAAAACAATATTTGTTTAGGCGTTGTTTAACGTAATCCACTGTGTGAACGAATATTATAGAATTTATTAATCAGCAATTACTTCATTCCTCTAACAAACGTTCATTTCTAAATGCTAATTACAATGACAAACCGATCATGTCATATTTGAAAGTAGATTTTTTTTTACCTGCATCACATAAAGAGGTAGCAATTGGTCACTGGCAGTCACTGCTCCTGTGATTAGAGGATCACATGTATCGTAATGCGAATGCATTACTAAACCAGTATAGAAATTAATTGAGAACACCAGGATTAGGCCTACACATGCTATGCAGAGGGCTCTAAAAGAAAAAAAAAAGTGTCAATGGCATTTTGCTTGAAGGAAAGTTACATGACAAAGAATCGATATGAGTGAAGATCCTTACAAACAAGAGCTGATTATTCAATTTTGTACCTGATTCTCATTGTTTGTTGACTGATTATTACTACTTACTGTTTAGCTTGTCGAAGAGAACCCACAGACATGTATTTCTGTACAGATGCCTGATTCGTGCAGAACATAGACGCCCAATAAAAACTTCCTCCAAGGACAACACTCCAAACTGTATGTCTTGTAGTCGGTCTTGGATCGAAACTAAAAAAATAAAAAAGTTGATAAAATATCAATTGATATCAATTATTGTGCAGTTTTATTGATTAACTTCCCGAAGGAGAAATCAAAAAATCCGATTCGCTAAAAAATCTGAACGAGTGAGACCGAATTTGGAAAAAGTATGTGTGTGTTTGTGTGTGTGTGTGAACAAATTTTTGCCGTAAATCGACATTTACGGCTGGACCGATTTCAAAATTTAAAAGCCATTCGATGTATCTCGATAAGGGCTATCGTTTTTCAGTTTTGGTCGACGATCGCCAAGCGTTTCTTAGTAAATAGCAGAAAAAAAAAAAAAAATCGTCCACGTTTTAGTGCATAATTCTTGGGGCAATTCTGAAGTAACTAAGCTCATAAAATAGCATTGTTGTAGCAAAACTTGCTTTTGGTAGTGAAAATAATTAAACTGGTCTATCCATTGCTGTACA